AACCAAGAAAATGCTCAATTTAAAGCCAAAGACCAAGAAATGGAAACCTGCTATGCAAATGCAATCGCGGCAGTTTTTTACTTGGCAATGCATCGCATTGTTGGTCGAAAAGGTGGTCATCCTGACTTTTGTGACATACGTGAACGCATAGTTGATGAATATGGGTATGAGGGTGCCTATACCAATAAGGTACTCCAGAATGTTAGTGGCGAATATCGCTTGCACTACGTTGAAGTAGATGGAAATGGTGCACGACAGGCCCTCAATGAAAGGCGTCCGGTTGTTGCTAGGTTTATCTGGTACGAAGAAGAGGTGGAAAGATATAAAAAATTTTTCAGGAAAAACCCCAAAGGGACCCTCAGAAAGGATGACCTTAGAGGTGAGTTGTAAACATAGCATTGAGAGCGATAACATTACGTTATACTCTGACTTCTTCTACAGGGGTAACTGGAAACAAAGCAAGTGGCCATGCTGTGGTTATGACGAGAATTTCTCCAAGAGGTATAACATTTATGAACTCTTGGGGCGAAAAATTTGCAAATGGGGGCTTTTTTAGCGTGGAAAATGAGAATGTCCTACGTGGGATGAAATTCTACGATGTTTACTGGTTATAAACCGAACTAAAACAAAGCGAGAAAGAAGCATACGAAGGAGAATGCAGCAAAAAGTGTGGAAAACTTGCTCAAGCATTTCCCAGTATTATTGATCTTCCTTTCGTTTGTCCTGAATGCAATCATGAGTCCCTAATTAGGGAGTTTTCTGGTCATGCCCTCAAAGCTCAGTGTCCCAATCCCAAATGTTCTCATTCGTTCAAACCTACTAACAAACAACTGATAAAAAGTTTGTACATTCAGGCCCACAAACCTGTCAAACAGAATTGAGACGTTATAGTGTGATATTCTAAAAAGTAGTCACTTTGTAAGAAGAGAATTAATATGTAGCTATTCAAATTAATAGTGATTATTGAATCAGTTCTGGATGTTCTGCACCCCTGTAGACTTAAATTCACGTGGGAAATGCTTTGGGGTAACAGATCCTCTCTTACCAAAGGGGCCAAGACTAAAAGAATGTCGTGGGTTTAAAATTCCACCTAGGTTTTAGAGAGCTTCTTTGATTGCTTTGTCGCTCCTTGTGGTTGACATTATAGGCAGAGCTTCCAAAATTTTCACATGCATGGAATGTATGTATGCATGTAAGCATGCATGCTTGCATGCATATACTTATTTTGAGTTGGGCTTCATTGGTGGTTTAGTTACCCAGGTCTGCTCCTACATAATATATACCGAGTGAGAGTATACTGTGTTGTAGCACAGCTGTTGAGGTTTGTCTTTGCCTTGTATGTGTTGTAGATTTGAGCTCCTGCCTGCTGAGCTGCCCTGGTAGCTCAGGGGGTAAGAGCGCTCTGCCTAGATAGAGGAGTGTCGTGGGTTCGAATACCACCCAGGGCAGCTCTTTGTTTTTCCTTGGAAAAAAGTTGTTCTGGATGTAATTGAATTGTTTTCCTTTGCCTTGCTGCCTCGTTGATGCTTGCATGGGCTGGGTTGCTCAAATCAGCTATGGAATGAAGTTGCTGGTAAACTACAATAGGGAGAGCTGAGATCGTTAAACATTTCCTTGTGGGTTGGAGTGTGCTGGAATATGATGTAAAGGGCTTCTGGCATAAATTGCAACACGAGAAATTGCGCACAAAGTGCTAGTGTACGTATGAACATACAGAGAAAGAATGGTGTAGAAAAGAAAGAAGGAAAGAAACATTCAACTCGTGTCCATCTTTGACATAATTCACAGAGCTACATAACTGTCTCGCAGGAGAACATTTGCCACTTGGAAGCTTGTGATGTCTTAGTTGCTCCACAAGAATGCTTCAATATGCACATAAAGTATTTTAGATTGTCACCACATCAAGGAAAGAAAACGATGGCTGCGTTTTTAAAATTCCGAAATTTCTCCTGATCCCTTCAATTTCCACTCAGTCATTTTACAGTGGCATGCCAGGAACTGGGGCTCTAATAAGTAAGACATGTCACCCCTGCACACATCCAGATATGAAGAGTGGAAGACACACCTGCTACAAGGACATGTATATAACTGCTGCTGTCAGGCGTTCTCGCGTTCTCTTATACATTTTGACTTGGTCTCACACCCAAGATATGGTTACCATTAATAGTTAAGCAAAGGTCTGTTTCAGTTTCACTTTATATATATGTGACCGTGCACGCAAAAACCAACCTTACGCCACATTTTTGTGAAATAGCTTTTTTGGTTTCGTTGTAAAGCTTGAAATGTGCTTGATACAGCGCTTATTTTTGTATATATTTCGGGGAAAACCCTTTAAAAGTTACGATTTTTCAAACGCGGGCCACGCGGGGTTATACAAAACCCGAAATAGTCGAAAGAAATTTTTCGGTATTTTTGTCCGCGTACGAATATGACGTCACGTTACAGGATTTTTCCCGAGAAATTTCAGCTTCCCTGGAATCTTGTGCTGGTTTCATAACTATCACAAGGAAATCTGATTTAGTTGCATTTGGGTGGGTTCTTTGGTTCACCTTTGCATTTCAGTTGCCATAGACTACGTATTTTTTTACCACTTGTAGTTACTCATTTTCCCTAAGAAAGGGACTGCATCATACTAAGAAAGATACTGCATCCTACACTCTATATAGCATAGTGTGTATGGTTGACTGACAGTGAATTTACTTATGTGGTGTCTACTGTGGGTTTCAAACTATAGCTACTCATTAATATCTGTACTACTACACTGCAAGCAACCATTAAAAAAACGTCAGCAGGCACATAATTGGTTGAGGTAAGCAGGGCTAAACACAGCTGTTTTACTGTTTCTTAATAAAACCAAGCCAATGTAGCGATGGACCTGTTGCCAAAGCTTTGTTTCTTGTGGCAGAAAACATATTTTTGAACTGTAGCTGCGCATGTAAGTTAAAGGGTGGAGATGACACACAGACACCCACAGCAATCTGGTATCTTGATGTATGTGGAGGGTGTAGTGTCTGGGGAGATCAAGGTCAGTTAGGTTAGCATTGTCAACATTGTTAGTCTGGAGACACTAGGATGCCACTATAATAATACATTTTCAGTTCATAGACCACAGTTACTCTTGGCTAATGGTGGACATTACCAAGCTACCAATCCCAGGCTATGGGTAATGAGTGAGACATTTTACGTTGTTTATGGAGGGCATCCAGTAAATAATCCTACAGGCTATGGATAACATAAATAGTACTAAGAAACTGAAGCATAGAAGTGCGTAATTCCCACAGGAGAACTCTTCTATGTAGAGGGTAGTGTGTGCTGGAGCAGCTGGGCAGGTCAAGGTTGGCTTACCCTAGCATTCCCAACATTGGTATAGTCTGGAGCCACTAGGCTACCCTACATTATCAGTCCATGACCATAGTTATTCTTGACTGAACTTTCCCACTGGAATGAGTGGCCTTGTGTAAACACTGGGAGACTTTCTGTGTATACAGCAGTGGTATTCTAATAGCTACCCACACCAAGGCACTCTATAGCATGTTATGGGCACAGAACATGTGCCTAGGCACATATAATATACACACTCCTTTAGTGTGCATGATAATAATAATTATGTCATCACCTCAGTGTACATAGGCTAGGCCTTCTTCTTTTCAGCACTTGATATTGTATATACGTTTGTGTGAGAATCCATGAAATTTTACTCTTCACTATACTCGGTATTAACTTTTGAGAAAAAAAGATAGCTCTGCATAACAAGATACAGTTTATTGCAGATTGCTTCTAATCTTGGAGGCGAGTCCTTTCAGTCCAATATCTTCCAGGACAGTGACTAGAGTATCCCAGGTACATGGTTAAAGGGTGGAGATGACACACAGACACCCACAGCAATCTGGTATCTTGATGTATGTGGAGGGTGTAGTGTCTGGGGAGATCAAGGTCAGTTAGGTAGCATTGTCAACATTGTTAGTCTGGAGACACTAGGATGCCACTATAATAATACATTTCAGTCATAGACCACAGTTACTCTTGGCTAATGGTGGACATTACCAAGCTACCAATCCCAGGCTATGGGTAATGAGTGAGACATTTACGTTGTTTATGGAGGGCATCCAGTAAATAATCCTACAGGCTATGGATAACATAAATAGTACTAAGAAACTGAAGCATAGAAGTGCGTAATTCCCACAGGAGAACTCTTCTATGTAGAGGGTAGTGTGTGCTGGAGCAGCTGGGCAGGTCAAGGTTGGCTTACCCTAGCATTCCCAACATTGGTATAGTCTGGAGCCACTAGGCTACCCTACATTATCAGTCCATGACCATAGTTATTCTTGACTGAACTTCCCCACTGGAATGAGTGGCCTTGTGTAAACACTGGGAGACTTTCTGTGTAGCAGTGGTATTCTAATAGCTACCCACACCAAGGCACTAGCATGTTATGGGCACAGCACATGTGCCTAGGCACATATATATACACACTCCTTTAGTGTGCATGATAATAATTATGTCATTACCTCAGTGTACATAGGCTAGGCCTTCTTCTTTTCAGCACTTCGTTTGTGTGAGAATCCATGAAATTTTACTCTTCACTATACTCGGTATTAACTTTTGAGAAAAAAACTAGCTCTGCATAACAATATACAGTTTATTGCAGATTGCTTCTAATCTTGGAGGCGAGTCCTTTCAGTCCAATATCTTCCAGGACAGTGACTAGAGTATCCCAGGTACATGGAGATCTCCCTATTCCTTGCAGCCACTTCATGGCTATTTCTGTGTTTATGGCCTCAATATCATCCCTGCATCTGGTAATGATAATATCGGTCTCTTCTCCTGTGTCATCTTCAAGGAGCATGATGCCAAACTGACGATATTTAGATCGGATCCTCTTCATGATGTTCACGTGTTCTTCGCCATCCACTGGAAACCTCAGGAGAAGAGGCAGTTTTGGAGTATCGGATCCCAGGGGGCCTGAAGGAGTTGAACCTGTGACTGGAGGCTTTGTGCTCCCACCGTCCAATAGCTCTGCTGTATTTGGAATAAAACTCAGTGCCAGGGGTTTTCTTTAAAAAACTCAAGCAACACTATTATATGGATGTGCCCTTGTCAGTAGTAAAATTTTAGCATGTGCTACTCTATATGTAGCCACCCTTGCTCTCAAGTGCGTTGACGTGATCTTGTCGCTGAAGACAGTGCGACCACGCGGTATTAATAGCTACAACAATAGACTACAGGCATCATTCCCCTAGCTATATAGACCCCAGTTAGCTACCTACGGAACAAGTTCAAGTCTGTTCCTACGCTTTTGAGTAACTATAGCTAGCTAAAGTTTCACCTCCATCCGTCTTACAGTGACAGATTTCTAGCTATATCTTACTTTCAGCCATTATAATGAGGACTCAGGCTCAGATCTTGACACCACAAAGACCCACAACACGAAAATTACATAATGTGTGCGCTTGTAGCGCGGGCACTCGCGCGAAATATTGCCAACAGAGCGAGCGGAGCGATAACCTGGTCGTTCTCTCGTCGTACGTCGTGTAAGTGCGCATGCGCAGCTTTGTACGCACGGTGCCTCGCGATATGCGCCGATCGATCTAGCCAGCGAGAGAACTCTCCTCCATTCGATGGAATGCGCTGGAGCCTTCGGTGACTGACCGAAGCTGTACCTCTTCCCAATGTTCATGGTTCCAAGGTGCAACTTGCAAATACGCTAGGATTGCTCGTGCAGATACTGCTGCATGCCAGCTGCCTGGAGACCACGACCGAGCTGAAAGCCTAAGGTAAGTACCGTTCTGCTCACCTGCTCACCGTTCTGCCAATGTATGTAACGGCGACAGATAGATCTGTCTTGCTTCACGAAAAGAAAGTTGTGCGCTGACGGCACCCCGAACATCGCGCTAAGTTGGGTCGCTCCCGCTCGCCAACAATGTTCAACGTTTCCACTAGTTATAAGAGCCATCCTGGCCTATTTTATATGGAGCGCCGTTTCCGCCAAAAGTAAAGGCTCTCTGCCTGCTAAAAATCGATCTCTAAATCGTTCTTTTACTCGATTTTTTGGGGAAAATCGTTCTCTAAATCCATTTAGTGCATAGCATGTTTAAATTTAGCAATCTTATTAGTTCACACGAGGTACTTGATTTCCCGTATATAGTATACCTAGGACGCTTCGTAGTAAACCTTGTCTCAATTACAAGATCACGTACATCATCTACAGAAATGTGAAGCTTTATCGTCTACAATAATTCTTTTTAGTTTCACAGAGAGACAACGGACAAGAAGTCTGGGACTAGCTCTACGCAAGCGCCTGTACGCTAGCGCTAGCGGTACGTCACGCCCGCTGATACGTGCGCATAGAGTGGGCGGAGCCCTTTTCCGCGAAACTTGGCGGACGACGAACGAGTGCTGTAGCTTCCGCCTACCGTTTCTGGCTCGCCGCTGGTGGCTGAAACCTCGCTCGAGTCTGTTACATTTGGAAAATTAATGGTAGCCGAGACTGCTTCAATGGAATTTGCTGTAAACCTCTGTATATTGGAGGGATTCATTCGGCTAGGGACACACATCAGAACTCCAGCTTTGTTCTCACACGTAATTCTATCACATCTGATATCCACCTGGTCATCTAGTAACAAAGGGGAAGCTGAGATGCATTCAACCAAGTCTCACAAAAGCGCAGTATGTTAGTTATATAGCGCATCTACGGTTGCTGTCAGCTCTAATGTCTTCCAATTTTGCAAGTATGGATTTCACATTCATCAAAGCTACGGTAACATGAGATGAACCACACGACATGTCAGGGAGTGGTTGCAGTAGGTTGGTACTTAGCCTAACCATTTCGTTTTCAAAATGCAATGCTTTTTTTAATTGTTTTTCCTTTGAAATTTAATATTGATTGACCTTTGTTAACCAGATGGGAATGCTACCATTTTCATGAAAGGTATATACAGGTAAGGAAATCAATCTCATTTCCAGTGTATTTAGGACAGCAAGATCAGGTGGTATATCACACAACCGTAGCCTTTCCTTGTAGTGGCATCAATGCTCTATCACAGGTCTTACATATCCACACTTTACCATCGTTGCTAATGTAACTGAGGTCAGCCACTGCAACACTTGCAAGCTAATCAGGACTAGTTTGGATTTGTTACACAGAACTACACTTTTTCTGTACATCATACGGTGGCAACATGTACGCACAAACTCTAGCCCACATTTAGATTCAGAATGGAATGCAGAAATGGCTTGCTCTACTGACACACACCTACTTCGCTTGCTTGACACATGATCTCTACCAGTTTGTTTTCGTTGTAACTTTTGACAAACGTGTTTCAGAGGCTCTGATGCTCGCCTTGTGCGCTCTATCTTGTTCTTGCCTGTTCGACATTTGCTCAGGTGTTTGAGAAGCTCTGATGCTCGCCTTGTGTGCTTTGTTTAGTTCTCGCCTGTTCAACGTTTGTTCAGGTGTTTCAGAAGCTCTTGTTTAGTTCTCGTCTGTTCAATGTTTGCTCAGGTGTTTCAGAAGCTCTGATGCTCGCCATGTGTGGTTGTCACAAACCAACTACTCTAACTCTTGCTGAGTATGCGCACCTACGGTTAATAATCCAGATTGGTGTGGGTAGGTTTATGTTAAACACTGGTTGTGATTATTCCATCAGGGTTATGTCTCAGGGGAAAGGTAGAACATGATCTTGTTCTACTTCGCAGGTGAACTGAATTGACGGCTCTATATATCAGAGCGTCGGTAGACGCTCTATATAGGGATGAGACGAGTGAAATCTCACGTGATCCGCGTACAAAACGCCTCAAAACTCAGCGAGAATGACTCACCATGGCTTCAAAATCACTAGCAATAGTCTAGAGGCCAATACCTAGCTATACATATGCCCCAAGACTTCCTACGTGCCCTCAGTTCCCCACGAGAGAATTCGCTCTTACGCGATTTCGCGATTTTCGTGTCATCATCATCATATTCTTCATCTTCTTCTTCTTCTTCAGACCCGCTAGCTCCTTACCGGAAGCAATTGAAGCGTTGATTTTTTCACAGAACGTCTCCAAATTTTCCGGAGGTGTGCACGCATGTCAAGCGATCGCTTGTTTCTTGCCGCAAGTCACTACGATAGACCGTTGAGCTCTTCCACGGTAGTCACTGGACAACGCCATTTTCTGCTAACTCAGCATCAGTTAGCCGCATGCGCCGAGGAGGGCGTTTCCCCAACCAATGCAATGCGCGCGCATTACTAGCATGCGTGAACCAGACTAAGCCAGGATGCCTGCAGAGGAACTCTTATCCCCCAGTGCCTTCTGTAAGTCAGTATACACATTTTTAACTGGCTAGCTTGCGTTTTGCTGCTGATTTGTACGAGGAGCAACTTGGCAGTGTGCGCCGTGTTACGCGGGCCTTGCCCAGCGCCTTCATTGTTTGTCCCCCAGGTTATAGCTATCATTGTTAGTCTGATTACTGAAGAAACGACCCCACCATATGTGCCACCATCGTTGTTGGAGACACTACGCATACACCCTGCTTCAGTAGGGGGGGGGAGGGTACCCTCGGGGGAGAGAGGGAGGTTAGAGAGAAGAGGGAATTTGGGAGGATCTGCATTACGTGGGAATTGATTTTCCGCTTCCGGTTTTTTCTTCTCTTCCTTGTCCTGTTTGGTTGCTTGGCGTTCGTCTCTGTTGTTCGTTTCTTTTTTATTGTGTGCTTTTGGTTTCTTTCTTTCGGTTTCTTTCTGTCGTTGTCTGTTTTTGTTAGGTTTTTCTTTCGTGGTT